ATAAATAGATCAGCCTCAGTATAGGATTTTAACACGTTGTGTTGTTGAGACATTACGCGTTATTGTTGTAGAGGTGTGATAGTTTGGTGGGGTGGCCCACATACTGGGGTGGCCCGCTTACTGGTGAAACACGTTATAGTTAAAGAAGCTAAAAACACTTAAGTATACTAGCGTCTAGAGCTATTAGGTTATAATATTTATAGCTTATATAAATTACTATAGAGGTTAATATCTAGATTCTTTAGTTCTTATAAACTAATAGCTAGTATAGAGTTATATATTTATAAGTACTAAATACTATTAACTTAAGGTTAATAGGTTATACTATAGTTAGAGAGAATAGATAAATTTTCTTAGTAAATAAGTCTAATAGGGCCTACTTTAGACTAGTTATCTAGGCTAGACCTTAATAGTACTATAGTTTTAATAGTAATCACGTAATACGTTTAGCGATACTATATAATATAGGTTAAAAGGGGGGGTACTACGTAATATAGATTAAAGCTAGAGTAGCTACTAGATATTATAGCTAGAATAACTACTAAAAGGAATAAGGTATTAGAATAGTATATAGTATAAGTATTATCTATCCTAGTAGTTACGGAGGTGAGCTAAGTACAGGATCCCAGCCAAGGCGCTATACCCAAACAGGGTAGCTCCCGGCAGTGCCATAACAGCATGCACCCTTACGGATTTCGATCGTCTGCTGGCACCGGTTCAGACTCTTGTCCCTTGTTTAGGACACGAAACGACATGATAGAGTATCGAATCTTGTCGGAGAATTTGGACGTTTCGAAGCGTATCAAGATACTATCGCGCACTGAGTCGACAAAGACAACATGCCTTTATGTCGTGCTGCCAGGTCACAGTAAAGTATCGGGCAAAGCAGTCAGGAAAATTCAGCCAGGCTCCGCCGTTTCGGGCGAAGACTGCCGGGTCCCCGTGCTTCGGCTCCGAGCGGAAGGCTATGTAAGTAAAGGCTATTGTTAGCAAAGATCTTGTGGAGTTGGTAGACAGGTACGCACTCAATGGCTTTCAATTATGTTGGCGGCTTGATATGCATACCTCACCACCGCTCTCTGATGATTGGAGAACAGTCGAGAGATGGTGGCTGGCGTCATGGGAAAGGCCAGGCATGGCCTCGTCACGTGACAATTACGTGCAGCTGAGCATGACTAGGTCAAGATGATCAAGTGCAACTGACCCGAGATAAGAGGTTTTTGGCCATCATCAAAGTTCAATAACCTTTTGCTTCAAACGCGAAACCACCCAATCAGTCCACCATCCTACGTGTTTTCCTGATTGAATAAAACCTTCCCAGTCAATATCGCACTGAACGTCTGATCAAATTCCCTCTACGGTCACTCAACCCATAATGATTAGTATTGCGAATCCATTCCCCATCTGTATTGTAGCGATTATGAAGCAACAAGCTGTCTAGAATCACAGTGTACACTTCGGGTTATACTGCCGGCTGCGAGTCGGCCCTAAATAAATACACGCACAGCGCTCTATTGTACTATTGGATCTTGGCAAGTGCCCGTCACTGCAGCAGTCACTGGAAGTGATATTCTTGGCAAATGCAGTTGCTACCTAAAAATGATGGGGTGCTCCGTCTATTTCTTCTGAATAAGATACTAAATGCGTCAAACCCCACGTTTGCATGGCACAAAGCTGGTAGAACCGGGGCCCCAGATTAGAGTTTTGATATCATCGATAACTGATTATGCGACATGCATGACATTAATTATAAGCTGCGGTATCACGACAGATATTCCAACTCTGACAGATTTAGTGTAGATCCATTTTTTGAAAATTCGAAAACGAGTGTGATCATTACCAGCAAAAAATATCCCGCATCAATGAACACATGACAGGACTACGTACGTAGTCTAAGACGGAGTGTTCCATGTTGATGATGCGGGGTATTTTCGGTGGGTCTCTCGCCCAAGAAGTATGAATTTCTTCGGTCCACATTCCCAAACATGTGTTGCGATATCGACTTGGTAGTCTTATATGGAGTGACACCAAACAGACTAAGACTTCGCGTTTGTGCTTCCGAGCAAGTATTGCGATCTTGACTCGAAGACCTGATCCAGAATGGCCCTGGGCAGATTTTTACGACAAATCCTCCGTATGCAAGTAGATGTTTAGACACTGAACTTATGATTCTACCTCAATTGACTCTTCACCGGAAGATGTTCAAGTCTCTTTTCAGCCTCCAGCATCTGCAAAGGTGGATGTAAAACGATTCGCACCAGGTAAATATAACATCTTCCAGAACCAATATTCAACATGCATTCTTTCTATCCCACCAGTTTAACCTAAGTCAGCGCAATCAGTGCTTCTGCCGTGTGGGTTTTGGAACACAACGGAGCAGTTGCAAGAAGTATCTTCGACAAACAAACTGGCATCGTGACCGCTCAGTCCGCTTCCACTAAATTTGCTTTGACTGTTAAAGTGCCAAAGGCGAAACCAGGTGCGCCTCTACATGCGGAGGAGAATCTTGTTGTGCAAACCCCTTTGCACGAAGCAGCTTCTAGCCTGAATTCGACATATTCGAGAGATGCACAGCTCGCTGACAACTAAGCGACACTTAACACGGGCAACTGCTACTAACTCGCTCCAAATCTCGAAACTCACAGCCGTCAACCAAAATCAGCCATGAGTCTTTTCCCGCCTTCCCCTCGTCTCCTAGAAAGAGAAACAAGATATTAAGTCAAGATCCCGAATAAGACTTCGACCTTGATGTCTCCAAACACCACAAACTCGCCACCTCCCACCTATTCATAGCCCAATATTCTCCAGCCCCCACCAATGCAGCCACGTACGCCGCCCTTAATATCAATGCCGCGAGCACCTTAGTCCCAAACCTGCAGCTACACCCTCTTCAAGCGCAAATTCACCACCCCACCTCTTAATCACCTCACCATGGCCACGCGAGAACGTACTTGATCATCACATCCTAGTTCGTCAACAAGCGGTACGCTAATAGCTTGTAGAATTTCTCTTGTAGCGCACGGGATGATGGTGTCACCGACTCTACCGGAAGAGCCTACACTTCGACTGGGAGATGTTGTTGAGCCATGTCTCAGGACCACATCTATACGTACGGCGCGTGATACTCTGCTTTGTAGCGTAAGGTCTAAACATGTTTGCTTACCGGTAGAGTCACTCTTATTGTTCTTGTACGATGTCTCATCCCTCCACCACCAACGATTGCACAATCGTACTTAAAATGCAGCGCATGTTCAACATTCCAGTCTCAATTCCAACTTCAAATAATCTCAAGTCTTCTAAGTTTTTCACTACTTCAACAAACACTACAAACGCCTATATCTCCAAAACTTTAGATCACGCCTTCTACTACGACTATGAACGTACCCATCCCGCTCCTCCCAAGCGACACAACCATGAACGTACCCGTCCCCTTCCTCCCAAGCACCGCAACACCTGATTCCAAAGATATAATGGTTGGAAACATGCCTCTCTCGATCTTCATTCCCATTTGCATCTTCGGACCGATGCTCTGTGCGACGCTGGTCCATCTTTACGTCAAGAAGAGCAGGCAGGTGGATCGGGAAATGGATCGGCAGTGACAAGGCGGAGATGTGGAAATGCAGCTTCGGGGGTTCTTGGGGGCGCTGGAGCATAGGGGACGGGAGACTGTGAGGGAAGTTTAGAGGTGAGTTTTTTTTTTCGGATGGGATGGCGTTTAGTTGGGAGGCAGAGGACATGTGGATGAGTGAGAAGCATGTTTTGTGCAAGGTTTCGGCAACCATAGATTTTGCATCGTGTATTTAACTCCGCACTACCCTATCCTAACTAAGTTCTGAATTTCCTTTTTCTCGGTAAGCCGCCTTGCTGCATTCCGCCATTCGGCCGTGTTCGGCTCGTCCCGTCTTCTCGGGAAGCGGTTTGGCGCTATGCCTTGTTGAACACATATGGTCTTCTTCCACCCGTATTCTCAACTATCGGGTGGTTTCCCAGCGAGTCTTAGTCCATGCTGTCAAGCTGCCATCTGATATAAAGTTTCATGGCTTCTCGAATCATACTAAATTTACGTCTCTGCCTCCGAGTCCTGCTGGGTATGATGACATTACGCGAAAGGAAAAAGTCGTCAGAGTCGTCAAAGTCTGAAACATAATGCACCACGCCGTCAGCAACTATAAAGTCTCGGTCACTGCTGGTCTCTCGTATGCTTGTTGGTTTTGAATGCGAGACTTTTGGGCACTTTTTACTTTGAGATGATGGTGTCTGAGTTGCTGGAGTCTTGCGTTTTGATTCTTTCGCGGAATGATGTGAGTGTGCACTTTGTGTTTGTTTATTCTTAGTGGCTGACTTTGACCGACCAGGCTTTGCCGTCGGTGGTGGCTCTGGTACTGGTTCATCCTCATCCCACTTGAAGATGGGATCACTCAGATCTATCTTAATCATAGTCTTTTGTGTATCCGAGTTGCTGTTATTGACTATGGCACCTTCTATATCTGATTTATTAACAAGTGTTTGTGGTTGTAAGGAGAGTTGTGTGGACGTGCGCAATGTATCTGGTGCTTCGCTCATCCGGATAGCCTTTTTCTTGGCTTTAGAAAGACGACCCTCACTATCGATGATAAGATAATATAGATCTCTGACTGGTAGTGCTGGTGCCACAGCCATTAACTGCGCAACCTTTTTTCTCATCTCAAAGTCGTCTATGTCTACCAATCTCATGTCTTTCTCTCCACTGTTTGTAGTTCCGTAGCGATCACCAGGCAATTTTGTAAACGTAGTATCTCTCACCATTGGTGTTTTGGGGGGTGAAGTCCGGGGAGTCTGCTGAGATTGAGGTGGGCGGTACTGCAATGGGTCAGGCGTATTGGATTTGATGCGCGAGAAAAGCCTAGAGTTTCTTGCGTCGCGCATATTGGTCGGCCGGACTGGCGACCGAAGATCATGCGTAGGTGAGATGTCGCGCAAGATGAGTTTGGGAGACGCCCTAGCGTCACGCATCCTAGGGTTCAATTTGCCTGGTGTCCCCGACTGCGCTGAATTGTCGTCAAGTATGATTGGTATCTCGCAAGAGGCTCCCAAGCGTCGATCCGTGTCAGTTTCCAGGTTTCTCTTTGTGTCGCGCATCGATCGCAGAGGATTCTTGGGGGCTCTGGATGGAGACACGGGTGGTTTAGGTATGGCTACTGAGTGACTGCGCTTTTCTCTGTCGCTATTTCGGCTCATCTTGATCTTCTTAGGTTTCCGGATTCGACGATGTTTGTTCAGAGCAGAGTCCGTGACAGATGCCGCTGGGAGGGCCAACTTGCGAGCGCGTAAACGTTGCAAGGCTGATATTTCGCGTAAAGACATGACATGGAAATGCAATGGCTCATGTTGTTTCTTTACACCATACTTTTCTGCGAACAAAGATTGGTATTCTTCATTAAAACCAAATGGCAAGAGGACGGGCAAATCCACATTCATGGTAAGTATACCGAGAGCGAGCCGAAACGGGATCCGGCCGAACGATAGACGAGGTGGGTTAGCGAGCGAGACGACATTTCGCAAAGGATACAGTAAGGCATAAAGTCGCCATGTCTTAGGAAGTGTAACGCGAAGATCCAGGTAGCATCACGTGCGGCAGTGTCAAACGGAAGCTGTAGGTGGGGTAGCTGGAGATGGCGTGGGGTAGCTTTTGGCGGGGCTGGTGTGGCGCAGGCCCAAGTGTGGCGCGTGCAATGCTAAGGTGGTAGTGCCACGCCTTTAGTGGCTGGGAAACTGCCAACACTGTGCACTCTCTGGTGTACTAGACATCTTCTTTTTGCTCTCAACTACTCGTTCAAAACCGATGGGCAAGATCTCCTCCAGCATCGTCTGATCGATCTGCAGGAAACGGCCAGTGGGCAGGCGGATTGGTCACATTCTGACTGAGGGGCAATCGTTGAACGCCAACGCAAAAAGCAACTGGCAAAAGAAAACATGCACAGTCATTCAGGGGCAGAGAAGGCTGGAGAAACTAGTGTTAGAGACTGTCATCGTCTAGGCCAGTCGGTCTGCAAGTGTTGCTCGCTGGGTGGGGCCGACGAGGACCAGGTGTAAAGACAACGGCCATCTCCTTGTGCCTGGCCGCGCTACGCTTCGACACGAGGGCGAGCCACCCCAGCCATCTCCACTCAGCACGTCAACAGCACGGCGACAACATCATCACGACAACTCAGAGCATCCACACCCACAGCCTGACCGCCCTTGTCACACGCGCCAGCTGTCTTGCCTTTATGAGCGCTGCCGTCGCGCCGTATGGGGCAGGTTCCAAGAGTCTACCACCGTGATTTCGCTATTCCAGGTTCCCGTCGATCGCGAATGGCTACTGGTAGCATAGGCCATGTGCCCGCCCCGACATTTGCTGAGTACGTAGACGATCCCTTCCTGGACCAACGGCGCGATGAGGCGGATGCATCGCAGACACAAGAGCAAGACATGGCCGACTTGATCCATCGCGCGCCGTCTCCGGGGGCGTCGCAATGCTCATCGGCGCAACAGTCGCAGGCATCCGCGCAGTGCATCGCACTGCGCCCTGCCCTGACGCATCGCTTGTTCTCTCATCATCTACACGTACGAGCATTAGCTAAGCTGCAACGCGATAGACTACTCTCTGGACCCATGATCGATATATACGTAGGCGAGTCGAAGCGCCACTGGGCGCTGCACCGCAACCTGCTGTGCCACCACTCCGAGGCCCTCGAGAATGAACTCCTGGGCGATGCCAACGGCAATGCGAGGAAAGACCGCCTCGACCTGCCCGACCATGACCCGGCCGGCTTCGAGCTGCTGGTCAAATGGCTCTACCAAGGCAGTCTGGACGACGTCTCAGACATGGCCGATGAGAACCAAAAGTATGACTATGCTGTGAGCTGCCACAAGCTCTACCTCCTTTGTGAGCGCTTCAACATGACCCAGTTGAAGAATGTGGCCATGGATCAGTATAGAAAAGGCCTGCATGAGGCTGAGTTGGTCCCCGACCCCGACGAGATCGACGCCATCTACCGCAAGAGCCCGACCGGCTCGCCCTTTCGTCGCCTGATGACGCGCATTGCCGCTCGCCAGATCATGGACCCCGCGAATGAGCGTGACGTTGAGACATACCGCGAATGCTTCACCAACAATCCTGACTTTGCCATCGATCTGGTCAAGGCCATCAGGTCTGGCACTGGCGGCATGTTGTTTGACGACCCAACAGATAAGGGAAACGAGTGCCTCTATCACGATCATGAGGCCGCACCCAACTGTTACGTCAAGGAGAAACTTCGAGGGAAGCAAGGTGTGTAGCTCTGCTTTCTCTGCAGTTCATTTCCAGCTTCGCCATACTTTCTCTACCCCTTTTTTGATTGTACAACCCCCGTAGTAACTCCAATTAACCAGCAAAGAAGAGGATCGCCCAGTCATCCATCAAATCAGTCCCCTACATAAACTCCGTCCAGCCGAACCGCCCTCCCCTCCCCCATCTCCAGACAGAGCCGCTCCCTCATTCTCCACCGCCTCCTCCCCCGGCAGCTCGCCCACACGGCAAAAACCCCCTTCGCCGCTGCCTGACAAGTCCGGCGAGTTCGACAGTTGGTACATCGAAGGAAATGGCAGTCGCTACTCAGCCGCCCAATCCAGACGCCTTTCGGGACAGGGAGAAGGACATGGAAAGGCTGCGCAAGGTGACGCCTCCGGATCGAAAACGCCTCGAACGGTTCCAAGTCAACGGGATGAGGATATACGAGCCACAACCAGTCCTCGACGAGCGCCTCCAAAGCTTAGAAGACAGACATCGCCTAGTGAAGGATAGCCAGGTCATTGATGGAATCGACGGTGAGGGCCAAGGAGGGCCTGTGCAGCCGTTATACCAAACGCCCATACGCCGCGGTATATGGGAGTGGGCCAAAGGAGGAGCCGGCAGAGGCAACACCATTGGACCTATACCCGAAATTCCAGACGATTTCGGTATGCCGTCTACCACTGATTCCGAGAAAAACGACTTGTATTCGGAAGAGCAAGTCGCGACTTCTAAAGTCACAGTCTTTGGATTATCTCATTCTCACATCAACCCATCACCATCATTTTCGCAGACAAAACGATCTTCAGACGAGCTCGTAGCCGCATCGTCGGCCAACACTACCCCGGCTACCCTTAACCGTCCCACTGAGCAGTGGACGAATGGCAAGCAAGTCATGCAACAACCTATATCCGAACATAGTAGTCCTCTTACACCAGAAACACCAACACCAGCACAGCGCCAACGGGATATGTCGGTAGATGCCAACGGCACACCCTCAAAGAATGCGGTAGCCAGGGAGAACAGTGAGGTCGGTGAACACGTGTCAAACGGTGCATCACAGAAGCCAAGTTCGACAACGCAGGCTTCTGACCCACCCCACTTACGAACATTCAAGGTCACCCTCGCTCCCAATATGCTTTCACCAGCTCGAAATAGCCCAGGCGCAGCAAAGTGATTTTTCCCCTTTTCAGTTTTGATTTCTTTGAATGATACCCGCACATACAATTTGGAGTTGTGTTTAGTTTAGTTACAATATCACTGGTTTATATAAACGCGTCTTGGAAGTGTTGCTGGACTTCATTATGTGCACTAAATTGTAGTTTCTCCTTTTACTACGGGGTGTTAATACGTGGCATCGCATCACGTGCTCGACTATACGTTAGCCTTGCTAATGCCTACACTTCTTTGAGCATCACGCTAGAAAATCATGTGTAAGTTTTGCATTATCATTGTTAGTGTTTATTTTTGTTTTTCTCCTATATGGACTCCAGTTCTGGACACTTGTTATCGCAACGATCGAAACACATCCTTTTATTAGGGAGGGTAACACGAGCGCGGGGACATGACCTCCTAACGCCTGCACTCCCTCGCACAGTGACCACACACTTCCCACCCCAGAGTACCTAGCGCGGACACCAGGGTAGAAAAAATGTAACAGTACCTGGTAGATTCGCGGTCTTGTACCCAAAACCGGCAACCCACCCCCAGCAGGGTAAAGACTTTCATCTTCGGGGAGGCGTGCAAACCCCAAGGCCACACACACACACACACTTCGTCTGACATGCATCGAGCTGTGCGCCGATGATTGTGCAAGCAACGCATCCCCCCATCGCCCCCTATCAGCTTAATACTCCCCCCCATCAATATATAAGTAAGCAACATGCAAAGGTAAACATGGATGTATGGAATAGACTGGGATGCCGCTCCGGGCGCCAAAGCAGGGGTTCATTGGTATACTGTACCGAGTTGATTGGACGCCTAGGGGAACGAGGTAAGTAGTACAGCCTGTTAGATAAAACGGAGTTGGTGGCGAGGCTGAAGGGGGGGTTTATGCGACATTTGTAAACTTGCTCGGTCCCCGAGAAGGAAACGGGTTGAAGTGAGGCGATTGCAAGTTTTGTTCTCTCTTTTTTTTGTTGTTGTTGTTGTGACGAGTTGGAGTGGAGACAAAGAACGGTTTCCTGCTACTATTCTATCACCACTCCCTTCAGTACGTCTTCTTTTCACAATGGCGATGACGACGCCAGCTGCTGCGCTCCCGACGGGACCTGGAGGTATGCCGGGGTACATATGGAACTTACCTGCGATGCCGCCGCCCAAGGGGCAGACGTCGAATTTCGTGAATCCAGAGTCTCGCGATATGGAGTTGATTGTTATGAATGCGGTGTTTTTGAGTGCGACGGTGTTGGCGGTGGCGGTGCGGTTTATTGCGCGGCGTACGGCTAAGGATGTAGTTGGTTGGGATGGATGTAAGTTGAACAAGAAAGAGAGTTTCTTTTTCGTCTTGTGTGGGTACTTATGTGGAACAGTGATGTGTATTCTTGCGACGATGGCTTCGGCTGCGCATAGTGGACTTATGATTTCGGGTGAGTGGCGCCATTGTGGTGTTCTGGCATGGTGCTGATGAAAAGGATTAGGTCTCAATATTGGATATGGAAGGCATCTTTGGGATATTCGCGCCGTCACCTTGACGCATTCAAGGCTACTGGTATATTCTCTTCCCATGTATAGGTTGTCGTTGATATCTAACTTGGTACAGCAACTCAATCAACTATCCACACTATACATTGTCGGTATCTGCTTTGCCAAACTATCCGTCCTGCTACTCTACCTCCGCTTCTTCAACGTCGTCGAATTCACCCGCCACCTCATCTACTTTGGCATCTTCTTGACGCTGCTATCATCTGCGGCGTTCATGGGCCACGAGATTGCACAGGCAGTACTGTGTATGGGTGTGTCGGCTGTGTCGAATCAGTTCTGTAAAGCAGTCAACAAGGTCGTGACTATTCAAGCTGCTGTCAATGTCTTTATCGACTTTTACATTCTGGTAATTCCTCTACAGCAGGTATGGAAGCTGAATATGGATTTTCAGAGGAAACTCGGAGTTTGCGCCGTGTTTGGAGTAGGTCTTGTGTAAGACACCCCCCTAACATTGCATTATTTT